TTTAATGTTATTGCTGGTATAGTAAAAGTTAGTGGTCATCATAATCTTGCCCTCTCTACTCTATTTCGTATCATTTGTACTGTGGATTTCCTCTAAATGTTTTATACCGATTTTGTAAATAATATCACTACTTAAATGCATTCACTATACTCGAAATCATTAGAACTAGACTAAATTATTGTCTAGTTTGTAAAGCATATCTTGCCTTCTGTTTAAAGTTGGCCCTTACTAGAAAGCTTTACTGTAATTTTTGTTCACTATTACTATATACTGTCATTACAACGGTGTGTGTCTTCATCAAAGTGTGTAATATAAATAACCGGCTGAAGTATCTCTGGACAATTAATTTGGCATCAGTACTGACTTTATTTGACTAGTCTGAAAACAACATCTTCCTTACAAGGGTAAATTGTATGGAGTTTAAGCACTTCAATGAAATATTGATGTTATTTTAAGTAAAGAAGATATGGCGAGTGAAAAGTTACTAGAGAATATGATGTATTAACTGATTAATTTTCAAAAAATAACGAAAAGATCAGGTCAGGTGAGCATCACGTAAGCAGGTAAATGCACGCACACTGCATCAAGCAATGAAGTGAGGAACTGAATAACGGCGAATGATAGTGCGCCCATAATTCAATTCGCTTACTGGCCTGCTGTCTTTCTTTGCCTTGCACAGAACAGAGGTTGAGGAATTTTGTGGGTGGGGAATTTAGTATCTCTTTGTTTGCGGGTCAAGGTTCAAATTGCCTTGGTAGCTGTTTTGGTTCGAATCTTCCCGTAACGTGGCTTGTGTGAGATGAATGGAAAGTGGGATGGGTTTGAGCTAAGATAAGGTTTGGCTTTGGGTTTTGTTGATGCTATTATTAGCTTTGTATGACATCCTCGGGTCTCTCCTTATATGTTTGTAGATAGTCTAGTATGAAATGGGAGGCATAAGGCATGTTATAAGCTTTGTTATAACTCTTACTGCCATCTGCAGCACTTGTTTTGTTCTCTTGTCTGCTTGTTTTACGTCTATGGCAAAACACTCGATTTTGAACCACATGCATACAGATATAGATACGAAGAATGAGATGAAGAAGGCAACAACTGAGCGTTCGAGCTCCTTTGGTGATTTATCATCATTTTCGTCGTCCTCCTCATCGTCCCCCTCCTACTTATCGTCAGACATCACTGATCTTTCCAAAGAAGTGAGGATTTTGATAATTTTGATCTTTATAGTTTTTGTAAAATCAACTTGGACGTGATTCAACTCATTTCAATCATGTCCTGCTCCAATTTCAGGTCGAATAATGTCTTCCTGTTGTAGGCATTTACAAAGAATCACTTCACAGAATGCGCGGAATTGCTGAAAAAAGCACTGGATGAAACTAAAGGTGAAAGGGGACGACGTCGTTTGTATGCCAATTTAGCTCTCTGTGAAGCGAAGAGCAAAGCACAATTATTTAGTGCTACTTACCAAGCTGCGCTCCTCAATATTTACCCCAAAGTATATCTCTATTAGATTTTGTAATTCGCTTTATATAAAGTACATTGAGTTACAGCTTCATTGGTTACAGCTTGCTTGAAATGACACTTCCACTAGTATTTTAGCTGAGACCTGGTGGAAATCACAGTTTAGAAGGTCATGACGAAGCAGTTGCTGCATTCAACCTAGCAGTGAATGCTTTTGTTCGAGGAAATCGACGAACTTGTCTTGAGATTCTACAATCTGTGATGATTGTAAATACCTTATCAGGTCATTTGCTCTGTTTCGCTTGAATATCCACCTAAAGTTAACTTATAACAGCTAAATATTTTCCTCACTTTATAACATTGAATTTCCAAGTAAAACAATGAATGGATTTCAGATACACTCTTCTGTGCGGTTTCATTATTGGAAATTGAAGTAAGCTTAACTTTATGTCAGCCAAAATTAGCACTAAAGCAAGCAATCAAACTTCGTGATAGCATTACATGGCACCGGGCAAACGTTGTTCAGCGAGACTACCTTGATTGTTTGGAGTGTCGCATACGGTGTCGCCTTGCACAAACGTCGTCGTTGATCGATTTTAGTTCGAAACCCGAGGTCTGCATTTATCCATATATTAAAAAAAAAATCATTGTTCTCCAATCTTTACAGCAATCTTAAGTTACAGCTGTTGCACTGGTGCCTTATACAGTCAGAGCTTGATGTGAAGAACGGTAATGCAGCACACGCAGTAAATCGACTCCTGAAATTCCGTCCTTCGCTTCAGGTAGCGTAGAGCAGGTTCTTTTTTTCTTTTTATAGTTTTAGTGATAGTTCTGAATTACATTTGTGACTGGTTCTTGTTTAATAAACATTTCATCCTTTGTCTTATTTTAGACTGTTTCAAAAAATACGAAACAGGTTTTTTTCCGAGTATCTGTTATAAATGTGGTATTTGCATAGTGGGTTATTTCTTTGCTCCGCTTTCTATCATATGATGCAAATTCAGGATGAAGAACGCAGACTTGTTGACAATGCTCTTGGATGCGTTTATGCTTTGTCGCTGAAGAAGATAAGTTTGGCCGAGTCATATTTCCGATCAGCAATGTTGGTGAGACAAAAAAAGAGAAAAAGGTTCGTCTTTGCGATAACGGCAAACACCCATAATGATGGCCATCCTGATTAGTAATGGATGAAATAGTTTAATAGGTCGGACCTGAATTTCATACTTTAGTACTTTTTATGAACTAATGAGGTTTTTTGTACCCTATAGCGTTTCTGTATGATTTTTAACCCTGCAAATTCATTTGATTATGGATCTCTAATCATAAAATTAAAATTAAGCTGCTGTAATATTTCTCATTGACGCATAATATCTCGCTACATAGTGGTATCCTGTTTACTTTGGTATAGGTCTTATAATAATGACTTTGAAGTCTAAAAATGGAGATTTCTTGGATGTTCGAAAAAATAAATAGGTTTTCATTCGTTTTATTGCTATTTTCACACTGCATAATTTTTCTAGTCAAAGTGAATTGTATGTTGGAAAGACTCATCAGTTTAGAATCGTTTTATTACCATATCGAACTCTGGGCTTAGTTTTCTTTACATTTGCAGTTGGCAAGAGTCAACAGTACCCAGGCATTGCTTGATATATCATGCAGCTTTGGCTCAGTTACATTGTGGGCAACCGGAATCTGCTTTTACACTTTTCCTTTCTATCCTTCCATTTTATCCAAAGCAGCCTCGAATTTGGTTACGAATTGCAGAATGTTGCATATACGCACTGACAAAGGTTCATTTTCACAATGTTTCCCAGCATTTTTTGAAGTTTCCTTATCGAACTAACGGGAATCCCCAAGATCGGTTTGTATATTCTTTACGTTGCCTATTCATGACAGCTTATATTTTCTTTGTACTTACCAATTTTGCATTTCTCATTTCCTCTCCTCCTCCTTGCCAATGTCGATACTCCTCAGGTTTTGTATTTTCTTCTGTTTTGCAGAATGAAAATGAGAACTTGGATATTAATGGACAAATGTTAGAAATTGTTGGGACGGCACAGAATGGATATGTTATCCTCCCATCTATTTCTGCTAGAGGAAACAAGCAAGTTTTCCATACTCATTTAATTTTTCTCAGTGAGTCATATTACTATAAAAGTACTGGTTCAAATTTAGAATTTGCCAGACAGAAACATTTTCTCAATTATCAATTTTAGAAAAAAATATTTCTCGTGTATTTTTTGACCTATTACACAGGGAAATCTTTGTATATATAGAAAAGTGAATTGTAAATAAATATCACTCTTCTGATCGAATCAAAACTATCCATATTTGTGTACTGACGGATTTTGCTTAATTTGATTCGAAATTGTAATTATTTTCCAATTCAAGTGACGGAGTCGGTGAGATACGAGAAAATCAGATTAGCTGGGAATATGCTGCACATTGTATTCGAAATGCGCTAATTCTAACAGGCACTGAACGTGACTGCGTGTACTTGCTTCCATGGTTATATGCAGCATCATCTTTCGTTAATCTGAATCTTAATCGTTATGGCTTAGCGTTGAAGGCAGCTTGTCAGCTTGCCAGTTTACAGCAGGTCTCTCCTCATCACAAGCTTATGGCAGTGCTTTTCAAAGTAAATTTTTGGTTCTTTATGAAGATCGCATAGCTTTTATAAAATCTGATCGGCTCTGATCCCAAAATTTCATTAACTTAGGTTTGTAAAACCTAGTAACAGGCCTATGTTTCTAGTGCAGAATTTGGAGCATATTGGCCACCTTCTTTATTTTATGATTAATAAGCTTATAACTGTGCAGTTCTCTACTGTTACATTAGAAATTCTGTAGGCAGAAGCGTTAACGTTGTTGGATCGTTTACCGGAGGCTATAGGATGTTTGACGCAAGCTATACCACTCCAATCCATGCCGAGTACGATATCGGCCGTCATCTATAATAGAGCATTGTTACAAGCGCTGAGTGGCAATTTCCACAAATCATTGACGACATTTGGGCTGGTACCTTTCATATGATAATTTTTTGGTAGTGATATACACTGTCTTTGAATCTTCCATCCAACTGTGTTTTTATTTCTCTCGAGTTACTGAACCTTTTCCCTACACACTTAAGACTGCTTACTGCTCCCGTCACTTAGAAATTTTGCAGGTTCTTCCCAACTTTTTTTCACATGACATGCATATCTTTTCACTTTAGCTCGGAACGCAGTGCGATATAACAACAGTTCCAGAAGCAATATCTCTTGGTATTTACATTAACATGAAATTAGATAAGGATGATGACGCAAGACTGCTTGTGCGACAAATGCAGAAAATGAAATTAAGTGTATGAAAAGTTGCTCTCGTTGAATAGGATTAATTTGTTTGCTGTAAATGACTACGTCATTTATCATTTAAGTGTTTACCTAGGAAAACTCGCCACAATTATAAATGACAGTTGCTGTTCAACAAAATTCTCAAATTCAGTGAATGATTGATACATTCGAGAATGTGAGATATACCTCTCTTTGTTTCGGAAGTCTTCATCTCTGGCGACTGACTTTGAGGACTTTGACGACTTCCCGGGGTTCAGAGTTACGTTACCATGCATTTCACCCATGGACTGGGTCGAAATTACTTCTCGATTTTCTAATGGTACTGTCCCTTATTCTCACTTTACCTCAATTTTTGAACTTATCTCACTACCGGTCTACATAAATACAGCATCCAAAAGCAAGATTTGAATATATAATTTATAAACACAGTTCCGTAATATATCCGAAAGTTCATTCCAACATATAAAATAAATTAGTGAGTTAGACACCATAGATAATGCAGTGTCTTAATTGGATACTCAACGAGAAATGACAAAAGTAGGAGCTGATGATATCATGATAAGTGTCCTTCATTTCTATGCATCATACCCTAAAAAAGGGTCGTTACGTTCCAGTTAGAGAAAGTCCGTCCGTTTTTGTAACAACCGAAAGGATTTCTTTAACGGACGTCAATATCTGCTTTAAATTTAAATTGTTATAAAATACGGGAGTAATGAGCGGTATTTGTCTTGACGAGTAAAAAATAAATACATACAAACAGGAACTTTCAAAAATGCGAGAATGCTTGTCATTAGCGTCCCACGTTTTCTTGGTAAGCTTTCTTTGATAATACAAATAACACTGCTGCAACTTAGGCTAGCAGTCTTGCAAAAGAAAAAAGTCTGTCAGGGATGAAAACTACGATGCCAAAGCCATTATCTTGATAACTGAGCATATGTGTCCATCACTTTTAAGTGAATCATTTTGAAACCTGAAGAAACGATATTTGAAAAATTATTGATATAAAAGAAACTAATATTTTGGAGAAGGGAGGGAGGGGGGGGGAGTTCAGTTTTTTCACTCTTTCGTAACAAATCAGAAGTCGAAAATGAGGGCTGAAGTGTTGGGAGACATCTTTCTTTGCTAACTTGCGAAGATCTTGAACAACATTGAGAACTGCGCAAAAAACAGATCCACGAAAAAGAATAGAGGTCATTCTTTGGTAGTTAAACACACTTTACATGTAATGGTGAAACCTCGTACCTGTGATATTTAATTGGCAGGACTGAAAGCTCTGAAATCCACTTTCAATTTTATAGCTGCCGGTTTTGGAACGGCTGGTGGTGGTATTTGTTCGCACTTCGGACCAGCTACGCGCTGTATTTGCTGTATAGTACGACTGCTGTGATGCCGTATGGATTCATCAATCCTGTACAAAATTTGTCTACAAAAAATCATAGCACTAAAAGTTTCGCTATCATAAATTTCGGTTGGAACCTTAAAGTAGAAATGAAAGGAGATGTCGAGTTACCGGAATTAAAGCTACGTTCAAATAAAATTTTTACAATTTCCGACAGACAGAGTGATGAAATCTTGCAAAATTAAAACAATGAGAATATAAGCTAACAATAGACAGTACACCATGGACAATGAATCCATTGTACCTATACAATGGACAATGCCAAAGGGCAGCCATATCTCCATGATAGCTCCGATGGAGCTCACAAAACTCCCTAATCCTCACGCATATATATATATACTCCGAAACAATTTAGTTTTTACAGCCAAGCAAACAATAATTCCTCCCACATATCCTCCACGACTGAACCATAAATGACATCTTCGCATATCCGCCACTATTGGACAACAAACTACGATATTCTTTCTATTCGTCAAATACATTCCCTGTAGCATATCCCAAACTCAACAGCCTTATCAACCAACCGACAGTCAAATTGTTATCGAAGGCAACAAGGAATTTGTTAGCTGATCATATTGCTTGCTTATTGTATAAACTCATCATTGCTCATCAATTCACCGCGTAATATATACATGTATACATCTTTTTTGTTATTAAATAGTAATATTAAGCAAAAACAATATTACATTCCAAATAAATCTATATCGCTGAAAAATGGAGACAGGAGAGAATTGAAATGTCAATTTCCTAGAAACTGAAGAAACAATTTAAGATGCAAATTTCGATGAAATTTCGGGACTCAACAAAAAGACTCGACTGAGCATAAAGGAACGTGGTCTGAAAACATGAAAGAGGTTTTGAAAAAACGTACTTTGATTTGAGCGCTGGGAAGGATAATAATATTTCCTTGAATTGTTCTGGATGAGAAGGACCTACTATATTTAACCTATTAAGTGCATAATCATGCAGTTTACGTGCAGATGGTGGCAGCTGTCGATAGCACGTAATTGGA